CCTCCTCGCCCACGTGGCGCGCGGCGGGCACAGTCTGAGCCTGGGTAGGACGAAGCCTATTTTGCCGCTCGCGATCTGCGTCTCCGTGGATCATGACCGCACATCCCTTCCTTTCCCACCCCTTTGTGGGCCAAGTATAGGGCCCGGCGACGGCGACGAGCGCCTGGGTCCTGGCCGCGAGGTGCAGGGTGCACACTGCAATGCGGCGGCCACGCTGCGCCCCCGGCGCGCAAATCTGGCGCGAAATTAGACTTCATTTGGCGGGCGCCACGCGCCCCGCCCGTATCGCCGCACGCCCGTCGCCCACCCACCGTAGCATCATCGTTACGCCGCAGGCCACATGCCCGCGCGCTGCGAAGCACCCCCTCTTCGCACACGCCCCTGCCGCGCCCGCGCCGCGCGCCAATCACGCGGGCCCGGGCTGGTTCGCTCTCCTGTAGTCTGTGTTCCTGTGCCCGGCTTCGTGTTGCTCCACCCTCGCCCCGCCCCGCCGCGCCGCGCACCGCCCGCGCGCAGTAGCGGGTACCAATCTCCCGGCCGGCGGTGCACAATCACCCACCGCCTTGCGCGTGGCGCCCTGATTTCATTCCAGTTATTGGTCTCGTTGTCGTGGGTTTAATTTGGGTCGGCGTGGTGCGCCGCGCACATTCGTCGGGCGGAGACGAGTCCCGAGGGGGCCCGATGACACGGACACGCGGTGGGCGCGTCGGGCGCGCGCGTCAGCCGACCCGGCGGTGTTTCTCCGGCGAGGGTTCCTCGGAGTGACTTCGCGACGAGATGATTACCGCTTTCCAAAGAGAATTAATGGAAAACAACGTCTGAAAAACCATTAGGAGGACGCAACGACGTAGACTCTAAATGCCATTACCCGCCCAATATGCAGTGTGTATGTACGCGATACGATATAATAAATACACTTTTGGCGCTGTACGCATCGTAAATGTGGAAGAGTGCAAGAAGGGTGCAAGAAATCGATAGCGAGGAGCAACAAAGTAAAGTAGACAAGAAAAAAAAAGTAAGAATGTAGCGCTACAGATGGGAGCCGAGACGAAGGAGAAGTATGATAGTGTAGTGAATGCAAAAACCAAGACCGGAAGGGCGTGCGTGCGTGCAGTCCAATGTCCTCGCAAACCTGCGAGTGCGAGACACACCACCACCCCTCTCTCAATCCTCCGACTTCATCCGCCCCCCGCGCCCGCCCGAGCTATTGCTATTGCTCGCCGCCTCCGCCGCGTCGACCGCCTCGAGCAGGTCCGCCTCGGGGTCCCCCTCCACGCCCTCGCCCTCGGCGTCCGCATCCGCCTCCGCCTCCCCCTCCGCCTCCCCCTCCGCGTCCGCCCCGTCCAGCTCGTCCGCCTCCGCCTCGGCGTCCGCGTCCGCGTCGCCCTCGCCGTCCGCGTCGACCTCCATCGGGCTGTGCGTCCGCAGCGGCGGCAGCAGCCCCGGCGCGCCCGGCGGCGCGGGCGTGAGGCGCGTCTTGATCACGCGCCCCGCGCTCGGCGTCGGCGGCGGCGGCGGCGCGGCGGCGGGCGGCGGCGGCGACGCGAGCGAGGAGCGCATGGAGCTCTCCTGCGCGGGCTCGCGCTCGCGCTCGCGATACGTGGGGAGCGGGTGCGTCTCCGCGCGCTGCACGGGCGCGCTGCGGAAGGACGTCGTCGTCGTGGGCGCGGCGGCTGCGAGAGGGCATCAGCACCGTGGTGTGGTGTGGTAAGAGGAAGGAGGGGGCTGACCGCTGGCGGCGGCGGCGGTCTGCGTCTGCTGCAGCTGCTGCTCCAGCGTGCCGCGCCGCTCGACGCGCTTCATCTTTTTGCGGCACCTGGGCAGTGGATTAGCACGTTGCGGGTCGTTGGAGTAGAGCGCCACTCACCGATCACACACGGTCCCCGGCCCCAGCGGCCCCGGGCCCCACTTCTCGACGCACTTGCCCTCTTTGTAGCGCCCTGGGAGGCCGCACTGCCGGCAGATGCGCTGGTTCGCGGCGTTGGTCGCGGGGAAGGGGGAGGTCTGGGGGGCGTCAGTTTTTCGTTGTGAGGGGAGGAGGAAGGGGGATGGGGATGGGGAGGGAAAGGAAAGGAGGGGGGGAGGACGAACAGGACGCGAGGGGAAGGTAAGAGGGATGGGATGGGAGCGGGGCGGGCGAGGAACAGGAGCGAGGACGACAAGGACGACAAGAAGAGTGGGACGGCGAGGAGACAGAAAGAGGTGGAGATGACGAGCGATGCAAAGAAAAGAAAAGACAAGGAAAAAATGAGGGTAGAGCAGACGAATCCCAAAGAAAACGACTCACCGCCACCGCCACCGCCGCCGCCGCAGCCACCACCGGCGCAGGCGCAGGCGCCTGCCACGCATGCGGGTGCGCGTGCACATCTGCCCCAATCCACTCATCAGTACTTCTCACCACGCAAATAAAATAAAATAAAATAAAAAGAAAAAGAAAAAAAAAAAATCGTCCGCCTCCAAAAAACGAAGGAAATCACTTACCCTTCCCCTTCTTCCCCTGCTGCTGCGCATACCCGAGACTCGCCGCCCGTTCTGGCGCGCGTCCCTCCCCTCCTGCCCCCCTTTCTCTCTCCCCACCCCCACCCCCGCCCCCGCCCGTGCCCGCGCCGCGCCCCCACTCCCCCGCGCCGCGCCCCTGCTGCGGATGCGGATGCGCGTGCGGGTGCGAAGCAGGCCGCGGCGACCCATTCGCGCTCGCGAGCAGGATCGCGTCGATGTCCTCGCTCGCCGTGCTCGGGCTCCGCTCGCCCCGCTCCCTCTCGCCCCTCTCGCCCCTCTCCCCCCTCTCCCTTTCTCCTGCCCTATCCCTCTCGCCCCTATCCCCTCCACCTCGTTCTCGATCCCCTCGATCTCGATCTGCACGATCCCGCGCGTACAGCGCATGCGCGCCAGAGAGCTGCCCCGCGAGGCTGTGCGCGCGCTCGGGCGAGCGGTGCACGGACGCGGATTGGGATTGGGCGTGGGCGTGGGCGTGCGCGGTGCCGGGGCGCGAGGTGGACGCGGGGGCGGGGGCGGGGGCGTACGCGGGCGTGGGGTACTGCTGCGGGTGGTACCATCACAGAGCAGGAGCAGAAGAGAGGAGTCAGCCCGAGCGAACGAATACGCGTAGAACAAGGACGGAGAAAAAAGCACGGAAAATCGACATAGCACGAAACAGACATAGAAGGAAGAGGGAGGAGTGGAGGAGAATGGAGAATAAAATAAATGAAACCGAAAACGCACCTCGTACTCGCCCTCCCTGGGGCGCTTGTTCGGGTACGCGTACCCCAGCGCGTCCACGCTCTCCGTCCGGCCCCTTCTATGCCCGTGGCCCCCCGCACCCCCGCTCCCGCTCCCGCCACTCCCGTTCGCAGGCACATGCGCGTGCGCGGACGGCGCGGGCGGGAGCGGCAGCCCGCCGAACGCGTCCCGCGTCCCTCTCCGTCCCCTCTCCCTCTCCCTTGGCGCAAGCCCGTACTCCGGCGCCGGCGGGCCCCCCCACGCCCCTCCCCCAAACGCAAACCCCCCGCCGCCGCCCACGCCGGGCACGTCGACCAGCACGAGCCGCCCCCCGCCCTCCTGCACGACCCTGCTGAACCCCGCGCGCGCGTCCGCGGCGCGGCCCTCGACGACGCCGAGGTACGCGTTGAGCTGCGCCCAGTTGGACGCGAGGAGCGCGAGGCGCGCGAGCGCGTCGTCGCGCGCGTGCTCCGCCGCGGCGGTGCGCTCGTCGAGGGCGAGGAGGAGCGCGAGCGTGGGCGCGGGGAGGTGCTCGTGGCCTGGGGGCGCGCCGCCTTCGGCTGCGTCCTGGGCGGGGGATGACGACGGGTCCGCGGGAGCCGACGTAGAGGCAGAAGAGGACATGGAGCCGGCGACGGCGCCGAACGTCCGGCAGAGGCGTTCCGCGCGCTCCGCCTTCGTCTTGGTGGCGGCGAGCTCTTCGCGCAGAGATTCGACGTCGGCGAGCGCGGAGGCGAGGAGGGTGGCGAGCTGGGCGGGGGTGCCGCTTGGGTGCGCGGGGAGGGACGAAGAGGGGGGGAGGGTCGCGAGCGAGGAGGGTGGGGGGAGTGTGGAGGGCGGGGTGGCTTGCGGTAACGATATCGTCGCCAGAGCGGCGTCCGCGTCCTGCATCGGCACGTCCTCCGCCTTGGTCGTGTTTTCTAGCGCGGCGTCGTCTTTCTCTTTCTCTTTCGCGGTCGCAGGCAGCGTCGCCGTGCTGGAAGCGAGGGTCGCCGTCGAGGAGCCCGAGGCGTCGGCCATCGCTGCGTCGCTCATCCCTTTTAATATATTCTAAGATAATAACGAGTCAGCAAGGGGCGGTGAGTGGCGCGTCGGTCAAAGTCAAGGTCAAAGTCAAAGTCAAAGTCAAGGTCGAGCGCGCAGTGGCAAGGTCCTAGGTAGTACGATCGATGGATGGATCGTCCAAGCTAGTATCAAGCCAAGGCAAGGTAACGTCGACAAGACCACGGGGGCAAAGAGGCTGACAAACTGACAGTGGGGGCGGGTTAAAGCGGAAGCGGGTAGAGTGTGACTCGTCGGGCTTTTGAGCTCGCCCGCCATGAAAAAGAAGCGCGCGGGTTCGGCGTGCACGCATGCCGCGCTTCGGCGCACGCATCACGGAGTTAACACACCGCCATCGCAATTCTTTTCCCCCGTCCTCCATCCAGTGCAGATCCCTGATTCAGTATTCATGTATTCAATCCACATATCCAACTAGCTATCACTGTTCCCCCTCAACCGCACTGAAACTCCACTTTGTTTTGCTCTCGTCAACCGGCACCGGCGCCGCGCAAAGAAGCGCCGCGCTCCCCGGGGTCCCACCCACCACGCCTTCCGCGCCACGCTATTGGCCGCCGCGTGCGCCCACGAAACGAACCGGTTCGTCCCACACGTGGCCCCCGCGTGCCGGAATCCGTGTAGGTAAGCACGCCGCCTCCCCGACGGCGACGACGGACATGAACACCGAGCGTGGGGCATCATTCCGTACATCGACGAAGACACTCATTTGCGACACTGCTCCCGACGTGTAGTGGTAACATGCTCCCCTCATACATTGGGAGCGTCTGGGGTTCGATTCCCTGCTTGTCGTTGACTTGCATTCTATTTTGGTTTCATTCGACTCCCATCCGCGCATCAACGAGAAGGAAACCTACATCTCATTCGGACCCTGCTCACAACGCACTCTTAGTGTAGTGGTAACATGCTCCCTCATACATTGGGAGCGTCTGGGGTTGATTCCCCGTGGGTGCCCTAATTATCTTCAGGTGTTTTTAGTTTTTATTGTGATTTTGGTTTTCACAGCGCATCAACGGCAAGGCTCATTCGGACCCTGCTCACAGCGCACTCTTAGTGTAGTGGTAACATGCTCCCCTCTCTTGATTGGGAGCGTCCGGGGTTCGATTCCCCGAGGGTGCCTTATAAACTACGGGATTCCTTTTTTTTGGTTTTCATTCAACTCCTCCCATCTCCACACTCTCGCATCCTTGGTGTCGCGCTCACACTCCCCTGAAAGATGTAGGCAAGGTCCGGGGATGCACATGCCCGCACCCATCTCAAGCTTTTGGTTTTGTGATCCCATTCCTCCTATTTCTCTCGTGTCATCCGGGTTCGTGAAACCCACAACAGCGTATTGCGTCCTTAGTGTAGTGGTAACACAGTCCCCCAACCTTCCTTTGGAATTCCCAGGACATCCGTGGTTCGATTCCCCGAGGACGCCTTCCATTCTCTTGTTGGTTTTGCATTTTTTTTTTTGGTTTTCATTCAACTCCTCCCACCTCCAGAAAGCCCTATCTAGGCTTTCACTCGGAGTAAATCCGACTTTTGCGGCATCCCTCAAGATCTCGTGTGCCCTGCCCCTATATACACCCTCATTTGCAATGTTAGGTGTAGTGGTAGCACATTCCCTGCATATGCAAAAGGCGCGCAAGTTTCTGGAGCATCCTTGGTGTAGTGGTAACACACTCCCTATATCTACACTTGCTGTTAAGACGTCTGGGAAGGTGCAGGGTTCGAATCCCTGAGGATGCATGATTGTGTCATAGAGCTTTTGACTTTGAGCTGTCCATCTTTTTGTGGAATTCGTGTTTGTCCATCGTATGCAAGTTAACAGCTGTTGCAGCATCCTTGGTGTAGCGGTAACACACTCCCTGCATACTGTGGTCGTAAGGAATTCAGGGTTCGAATCCCTGGGGATGCATGAATTCTGAATAAAGTGTTTTTGTGATCCATCTTTTTGTGGAATTCGTGTTTGTCCCTCGTATGCAAGTTAGCAGCTGTTGCAGCATCCTTGGTGTAGTGGTAACACACTCCCTGCATACTGTGGTCGTAAGGAATTCAGGGTTCGAATCCCTGAGGATGCATAATTGCGTCATAGAGTTTTTGACAGTGAATTTTCCATCTTTTGCGGATCCCACCCTACTACCCAATCTCAGCCCCTTGCTGCAGCATCCTTGGTGTAGTGGTAACACACTCCCTATATATATATGTATATCATTCACGTATCTGGGAAGGTCCAGGGTTCAAATTGCTGAGGATGCATATATTTGTTTCTGACCTTTTTTTTACTTTTTACTTCCCGTCTTCTGTGGATTTTCGTGTTTGCCTCTCATACAGAAGTTACCAGACATAATCCAATGTTTTTTTGGTATAGTGGTCCCACACCGTTTGAACCATTTAGAGAGTCTGGGGTTCAATTCCCTGATACACCTCCACTCCCAATCTCAGCACGTTGTTGCAGCATCCTTGGTGCAGTGGCAGCATGCTCTTTATTTATAACAATGGAGCTGGATATAAATCTGGGAAGGTCCAGGGTTCGAATCCCTGAGGATGCGTGTATTCTTCATCTGAACCTTTTTGATTTCGAACTTTCCGTCTTTTTGTGGATCTCTCGTTTGCCCCTCGCACCCTCATACAGAAGTTACCAAGCATAGCCCGTGGGTTTAGTAAACTTCCCGAGTTGCGGGAGTGTCCGATGTGGCATGCCTTTTTGTTTCTATCTCTTCAAGATCTTGTGTGACCGTGGCCTGCCTCCATTCCTAGTCTCACAGCACTGTTGCAGCATCCTTGGTGCAGTGTTGGCCCTAAGACCTAAGGCCTTAGATTGAACCTAAGACCTTAGGCTTTAAATAAGGCCTTAGGTTAAGGCCTAGGTTGAGGTCGCTCCTCCGACCTAAGGCCTTAGACATCACGTGTGACTTATATAATATAATGGCTGCGGTGACGAAGCCAACACTCATCATGGGCAGCGAGAAAGGACCGCTCTGGGACGTCCGGCCTTGAAAATGACAGTCCATGGCGCTGGAAAAGCTATTCGGGGCTTCACCGTGGAAGGAGTCTCTTCGGACCAGGAAGAGGAGATGTATATGCAGGTTATGGCTGAGCTTGATGTAGAGGTGACTCACTTGATGATGGGAGATAGAGATTGACGATAGCGAGGTTTACGGTGAAAGGGTTGCTCAGGTTCAACGGTCTAAATATGCAACTGCCAAAATCCCCCCTATCGAACGACTGAGTTACACCTAACTCACAAAATGAGATTAAGCACGACTAAACCGACAATAGACAGACTCCAACACCAACACACTCCCTTAATGACCTTGATACACTGACGAGATTCGGGTCTTTTTGGACACAAGTATAGGTCCAAGGAAACCACGAGTAAACGTATTTGTCACGAAAGTATTCAATTCCCGTTCCCCCAAGGGTGGCTAAGTCTCAACTAGTTTCTTGGAGTGGCGTTCAAGACACAACCTGAATTTATCGGTTGGTTCCCAACGTGGATTTAAGTTTCCCAACTATGCAGATATAACGGCTCTAGACCAGTTTGTTTTTGGTGGACTATTAATCTGGTGGGCTGTTTAGACCCGGTTGTTTGGCTCGCGCCTTATTCCACTTGTTTGGCTCACGCCTTATTCCACTGACTTGGCTCGCGCCTCAAACTTGCTTGGCTCGCGCCCCGTAACTATGGCTCACGCCTCAAAACACACAAAATGGCTCACGCCTCGGACTTGGTATGGCTCACGCCCCGTAACTGACACTTATAAATCCCACTGATGCTATTCCAAAACCGAACTTAAATTCTGAAACTAATTGACAGCCAAAGATTCAAGCCTAAACTTCAACTCTGTACGCAAGGGCTGTATTGCTCCTTACTTTCTGGGGTCTGGTTCAGTGCCGTCCTCCCTGGTTCTGCCCTCCTTATATACTGTACAAAAACTATTACATGTGCGTGATTACCAGGCCTCGGGTATTCTACTTAATTAATTAGCCTGCAATCGGTATCAGTGGAGCGCGTTCTGGCGTTCCTATTCGCTACTTGAGCCCTCCTATATGTTCGTCTAATGACTCCCGTCGATCAGGGGATTATATGTGTAATTAGTCCCCTGAATAGGATAATTGACTCATATCTTCCTCTGTGGTAGATGCCTCAACTTCTAGTATCGTTGACTGGATTGTATGGTTTAATACCTTTCCAATGATACCCCAGATGCCCTTAATCGGTATCCAGAAACACACAGTACAAGCTTAATCTGGCCTGCGGCTTATTGGGTGATCGCGCTGTCGCGGATCCGGTGTATAGGAGTAATAATTGTAGGTCCAGGCCTTGATCAGGTGACCCATCGTGTCGCGTCGGGTAAGCCAAAGTCATGTAAATAACCTGGTATTTCCCTCCGAATAAGGTTCCCAGCGTGCCAATAAATGCCAGAGGTGGATAATATGATTCTCCCTTTGATAGTGAGCATTGCTTTTGCCTTCCCCCGTATAGAGGGTGCTTCAGGACTTTGATATATGGGCTTTGAGCCTTAATCCGGATTCAACCCTCAAGTGTTCAGAGGTGTTGTCCCCAGGAATAAGCTGTTATTGCCAGTTTAGGATGATAATGCAATATGGCTCTTGGCTGCATGTTTGGAGCTCACGCCAACCTCTGGATGAGCGCTGAATGTCATGCATTCGTAAAATTTGAGGTTTCGCAAATTTTGCAGCTTATCAACGGTCATTAAATTGCTGGTGCGGCGCAGCAGAGAGCCCTCTGTCCAACTGAGAATAAATTTTCTTTTTGGGTTGCTAAGGCCTTAGATCACCTAAGGCCTACGGCCTTAACCTAAGCCCTAAGGCCTTAGAAATTCTGAGGGGTGATTTTTAAGGCCTTAGGGCCATCACTGCTTTGGTGTAGTGGTAGCACATTCCCTGTATTTGTAACTGAAGGAGATTATTGATTTGGGAAGGTCCAGGGTTTGAATTCCTAAGGATGCATCTAAACTTCGTCTCAACCTTTTTGATTTCGAAATTCCTATCTTTTTTCCAGATCTCATGTTTGCCCCTCATGCATGATTAGATACTTGAATTACCACATAGGATCCATCTCTCATGATAGCCCACACCTCTTGATGCATCAATACCAGTAAAATTAATTGAGCAGGACCTCCTCATCCTACGTACCGTACACCTCCATTCCCGATCTCAGTGCACTATTGCTGCATCCTTGATGTGGTAACACACTCCCTGCATGTGCCGAGGTTGTAGAGAAATTCGAGAAAGTCCATGGTTTGAATCCCTGCAGATGCATGTATGCTTGTTCTGACTTTGAACTCTCATCTTTTTGCAGATCCTTCCTCACCCTACATACACCTCTATTCCCAGGCTCAGTACACTGTCACAGCATCCTTGGTGTAGTGGTAACACACTCCCTGCATATTCTGAGGTTATAGAGAAATTTGGGCAAGTCCAGGGTTTGAATCCCTGGGGATGCATCTACAAGGATCTGTGAAGTCTTTTTTCCTTTGAACTTTCCATCTTTTTGTGGAATTCGTGTTTGCCCCTCGTATGCAAATCAACAGCTGTTGCAGCATCCTTGGTGTAGTGGTAACACACTCCCTGCATACTGTGGTCGTAAGGAATTCTAGGGAGGTCCAGGGTTCGACTCCTTGAGGATGCATTCTGAACATATTCCAAACCTTTTTGATTTGGAAATTCCTATCTTTTTTTTTTTGCAGATCGCGTGTTTGCCCTCGTACAGAAGCTACCAAACATAATTTAGTAAACTTCCTGAGTTGCGGTCTCTTTTGATTTGGATTGTCTGGGGTTTGATTCCCCAAGGGTGTCCTTAGTGTCCTTATGTAGACATCCATGCATTTTATTTTTTATTTTGGTTTTCATTTATCCTCATAGTTCCAACGACGAGGATAGGTACATCCCATTCGGGACCATGTTCACAATGCACCCTTAGTGTAGTGGTAACATGCTCCCCTCTATTGATTCGGAGTGTCTGGGGTTTGATTCCCTGACGGTGCCCTAATATCTGCATTGTCAGCTTTTTTTGAAAAACTCCTCCCATCTCCGGAAAGCTGGGCTTATGGCTCAGACGTAAAGACTTTTGCGGCATATCTTAAGATCTTGTACTTATGCCCGGACCTGCTCCCCATACAGACACCCTCATTCACAATGTTGGTGTACTAGTGTAGTACCCTTGGTGTAGCGGTGACACATTCGCTACATCTGTTGACCAAAAGCAGAAGAATATGGGAAGGTCCAGGGTTCGAATCCTTGAGGATGCATGTGGTTTCATGGAGTGTTTTTTCCTTTGAACTGTCCATCTTTTTGTGGAATTCGTGTTTGCCCCTCATATGCAAATTAACACTCCCTGCATATACCGTTGTAAGGAACTCTGGGGAGGTCCAGGCTTAGAATCCCTGAAGATGCATGTGTTTCTGTGTCTGTCCTTTTTTGGACTTTCCATCTTTTTGCAGATACCGTGTTTGCCCCGTGCATGATTGGATACCCAAAGAGGTTATGCATCAATACCAGTCCCTGAAATCACTTGCACAGGACCTACATACACTCCATTCCCAATTACAAACCACTGTTGCAGCATTCTTGGTGTAGTGGTGACCGAGAAAACTTTTGACTGTGAACTTTCCATCTTTTTGCAGATCTCGTGTTTGCCCTTATATGCAAGTTACTAAACATAACCTATCCTCTGCAACATATCCTTGGTATAGTGGTCCCACACTCCATTTGAAGCACTCAGAGAGTCTGGGGTTTGATTCCCTGAGGTCCGAGGATGCTTTCATTTCATTTTTCCTCCCATCTCTGCATATGTACACCTTCTCCACTCCCATTCCCTAAGCTGGGGAAGCATCCTTGTAACACACTCTGTGCGTATTACAAAAATGTAAACAATTTTGATGCATACACATCCAACCGAAATCTTTGTTACTGTCAACTTTTGATCTGGTCATTTGGTTCCATGACAGGGATATCTTGATTTGCATCCTTGGTGCAGTGATTGAAATGTCAAGGGAACATCCGGGGTTTGACACTCCAAGGGGGCCCTATCGTTGAAAGAGGACTTGTTTCTTTTGGGAGTTGACTTTGACATCTCACTATCTCATTGGGATCCATCAGAGGCTGCATGTCCTATTGCATCCTTAGTGCAGAGGTAACATGGTCCTTAAAGTATGTGGTAGTGAAATTTCTGGGGATGCCTGGGGCTCAAATCCCCAAGGATGCATAAGAATTTCTTTTTATTTCTTTAATCTACTCAGACACAATTTTTGTCCCACCAGTTCTCCATACACCTCCCTTCCTAATCTCGCATTATGGGCATGCATCCTTGGTGTAGCGGTCTTGCATATACACAACATATGCATCAATCTGGGACAGCCCAGCCCTGAGGTTGCATGCCCCTGTGCTGTAAATAGATTTTGTCTCGCCTTCTTTCCTGTTGAGTCTCTCGTGTAGGGTCTGACTTGGACGATCCGTGGACTGTCCATCATCCAGTTGTTTCCGATCATCCAATAGCCACAGCAGTATTTCTCTCAAAAACATCCACCATACACAGTTTTTTTAAATAAAAATGTGATATCCATCATTCATTCAACCCTTCAAAGCACTCCAGCAAACGGCTTGGGGAACTATCCCATCGTTCACGAGACATCGAAAAAATCCAGATCCAATCCAATCCATTTACGTAACGTCCATCCACGTCCATCCATGGATCACATCATCTAAGTCAGGCCCTCGCATGTCTGTGCATAGTTAGATACTCAAATTAGCAAAGAGGACATATCTCATTTGTGTGCAATCTAAAGCATTCTTGGAGTCCCCAAAAGTTCATCAGCTACTCAACAATTTATGTCTGCATCTCCTCGTATATCACCAATTTGACTTGATGTTGCTGGGTGTACAGTTGGGGACAATCAAAACCCACCTATTTTGGATGCAACGGAAAGTTGAATGCCGAGGGCGGGAAATGCTGTCAGGAAATCTACGAAATAGTTTCTATGCAAACCAAGGCCCAAATGAAGAGATTGGCACAAGCAAAATTTGTCAAATCAATGATTTCTCTGAAATTGACCCCAAAATATTGAGAAAAGCCATAAAAAATCGCAAAAATAACGTAAAATTGCCAATCGACTCCTTTTGGCGAGCTTGTCATGATCCTGGCAAAAGCAAACAATTCTATTGAACTGTTCCTTTGGAAAAAAATGATTTGATGTGTCAATTATTTGACCCAACAACAGTGTAAAAATGCAACTGTGTCTCAGGTATGGCTTCTATTGGCTGATAAATGGTTCTAATGTATGGATACTTGACTGGTGCGAGATTTTTTCGTAAAAGTACCCCCCAAAGGGCCAAAAGGGGTACACACAATTCTGTTCAACCGGTCCAAAATATTGAGAAAAACAACGGCTCGTGGGAAAAACTTCGGAGGTGTGTTTGGATCTGGTGGCAGATTTCTGGCAAAATGGACAGTTCACGTGCTATTAAATAGGCGGTGTGATTGTCCCCAACCGTATCCCAGATCATGGGTGATTCTTTGGTTATGCTTCTGGGATATAAAATCAGTGAGGTCCTGCAAACATTGTTCCACACAGATTCTGAAAAGCTGTAAGGACATCTGAGACTTTCATGAAGTATCTTGTGTTTTCCTCCACATCCACCAAATTTTCAAGCCATTCCATCAAAGTGCATCAACAAATTTAAGCTCCGCCAATATTAAAGTAGGACCATTTTTCTGACTTGATCACTTTTCCCTCTTCCCACCCCATCTTCTTGCTGATGTCACCCACTCCTTCCTCATTCACATGGGTGTTATATAACGTGCCTGCAAGCTAACACTGTTACCAACTGAGCCAAAAGGCCACTATGACAGGTTAATCCTGTCATAGGCTGCAGACTATATATACATGATTACACACATTTGCATGCATGTAACAATGGGCCTCCCTGGGGGCACTTCTGCTTGCTTCCTTTGACAATATTCCCGTTACCATAGGGTATGGGTCTTAGGGAGCAGGGATCTTGACGGCTCTTGCAGTAAATCATGTTTTCATCAGTGGTTTTCATGTCAGCACCTTTCCTCTCTGCCAAAAAATTTTGGCTTCACGGCAGTGGGTAATCTTGCTTGTATTCAACCTCCAACACACGCAAAGGTCATCCGCAATTTGACAAATTTGGTGTCCCTTGTCTGGCCTTGTGAGCTTGTTGGCAAGCTCACAAGGTCAAAGCACAAAAAAAAAACACCTCTCGCAGAATGGGGGTCAAGACCTGAAAATATGCTCAAGATGTTGAGGATACCCTCCGCAAGTTCTAGCAGACGCACTGTCAACAAATGCAGTAATTGACTCGATTTTTACCCCTGATTATCGCGTTAACACCCAGATTTGGTAACTACACCTTCGCGGCGGCCAGGGGTTTGACTCCCCTATTCAGAATTTCTCTTTTGGCTCTTCCACAGAAGCATATCTTTTTCTCGTGTCCTAGCTGTGTGATCCCAGCCCTCAGACCATGTCCAGGTCTGTTGAGTTTTGATTGGGCTTGCATGATTAATTGTGTGTTCTCAGGCACATATTATGGCAGGGGCCTAGGTCCTCTCACAGTTACTACTCAATGAGCCTGGTACTGCACTTGGATTGGAGCAGGGTGGTGCAACCACCGAGCCATACCACACCCTGGCACCAACTTCCGCCCTGACACGCTGCCATAAAAGGTGTACCAGACACTGCCCAAAACTGAGATGAATCCTCTCTAGAAGAAGAATTCATCCATTGGAGGACAAAGCTCCTTCCGTTAATTTGCAGCAGAACATTGTATGAATGAAATGCCTCATAATGAGGTTGGTTTGATTTATGCGTGGTCTTGTAACAGGCATTCAAAGGAGTGGGCAAGAGCGACTGGGTTATAAAGTTTGAAACAAGTCAAGATCTCAGACAATGTGATCGGTCTGCCGGTACCTTAGGCCTCAGTGACGGCCTTCACGGATTGCATTCATCAATCATTGTTCATGAACTTGATGGCCTGCAATCACATGCATATCCCAATATTTGGAAGTTTTAATTGGAATTTAGGTCCATATGGATATGACCAGCAATGATTGCAAGATTAGGCAGAACTTGGGGACTATTGGACACTCCGGTCTCTATGACTATTATAATATATGGCGCATCCCAGCTATAAGTGATCTCGTTTTCAGCGAACAGTAATGGAGAAGTTCACGTGCTGCTCCCATTAACATAACAAGGAGGAGGAGGATATGAGGACCCCTGATAATCCCTTTGGAGGCTAGGTCCGAGTCCGGGTGCAGACAAAATTCTGGATTTTGGACCTGAAACCCAGGTTCAAAATGGACAGAAATGAGCCTCAAGGGCCAGCAAGCCCAGGTCAGGGTGTGGACAAAAATCAACAAGTTCGGCAGACTTGGTGGGACAGAACCTTGTCCAACAACCTAATCTGGACCCAGATACTTACGAAAATGCTTCTTTCATGCGAGCAAAAACACGCTAAAATCGGGCCGCAGAGGAAAATAGTGATTTTCTAAGCACCGGAAGCTGAAAATTACACGATTTGGGCAGACTTCCCACGGACAGCTAGGTGCGGCGCGGACAAAAATGCCCAGATCGCACCGAAAATCTGCGTGGACAAAAACGGGTAGATCCGGGAATTTTTTGACCTAGCCTCCCAAGGGATCATCAGGGGTCCTAGGGTATGGCGGTCTAAGTGCACTAATAATCCGACACTTTTATATATGATTTTGCACATTCTTTTTTTTTTTTTTTTTTTTTTTTTTTTTGGTGGTACATTACAGCTAATTGCAGTACCGAAGGCGTGAACCAAAAATTCCCGTTTTGGCATGTTTTCAAAGAATTCCCGATATCTCAGTCAGTTCTTCACCGATTCACATAAAAACTGGATAGATCTACTCAGCTAATTCACGCACAATTAGTGATAGAAAATAATTTGTGAAAATATTATGTATTATGTATTTTCTGGTTCCGGGCTGTTTTCGTACCGGGAGCCGTCTAGCATGCCGAGAACATGTCCCAGCGGCCAAATATTGTAGGAAGGACAGCACTTATAGTTGAGGAAATATGTGATAGAGCCAGAAACACGGATAAATTATTTACAATCCTTCTAGCTCCCTCGGATACATTTGCTGGTTTTGTCATTGAGAGATATTGTAAAGATTATGTTTATCTAGGAATTTCGCGTATTTCTGGCCCTATCACATGTTTCCTCGGCTATAAAGGTTGTCCATACTAAAATATTAGGTGGCTGGGACATGTTCTTGGCATGCTAGACGGCTTTCGGTGCAAAAACAGCCCAGAACCAGAAAATACCTAATACATAATGTTTTTCGCAAATTATTCTCTATCATTAATTGCACGTGAATCATCTGAGTAGATATATCCAGTTTTTATGTGAATCGGTGAAGAACTGACTGAGATATCGGGAATTCTTTGAAAATATGCCAAAACGGGAATTTTTGGTTCGCGCCTTCGGTACTGCAATTAGCTGTAAACGGTAGCAATTAACAATTGGTTAACCCGGCCGGTTTGTAAAGTGTGGAATATTAGTTCCATTGGGAGTGGTTGCCACCACCCAGAGAAATGCCTTGCGCACACCCATTGGGTAGTGTGGGACTGTCATGTCACCCTATGCCGCGGTCGTTTCGTCGCCGGAGAGGGGTTTGAGGAAATGCACGATTACCCACTAAAACTCTGGGCTCCCGGAGCCAGTTTGCCGGTAGATTGCGCTCATTATCCAGTGTTCTGGACCAAGTGGCGATGACCAGTTGGGGCGCTAGAGCGGGACGTTTGCCCTTAAGTGGCCGGTTAGCCAAAGTTATGTCGACCTGCAGTCGTTGGTTTATAGTGTACTTCCACTTATTCATTATCTCCTCATCGGAGGCTGGCGCGCCGCCCCGCGAGATTCTCCGGTCATTCCGTAGTTTCCATATCGTGTACGCGGATTCAGACACTATGATCCGGTACAGCCTCCGTGATCCTTCCTTGGTCTTTCCCTTCTCGTCTCGGAACTCAGCGAGGCCACAGCCTAGAATTGCACCTAAGGACAATGCTGGCCAGTCGCCTTCCTTTTCCCGCCAGAGGGCCTCGGCTGCTTTCCAGATGATCTCCTGTCCCGGACTTGCACACTTGAGCAAAATATGATCCAAGTCTTCAATGACATTGCCGCAGCCTCCACATACGGCTCGTTCCTCACATTCGGGTA